GAATTGTCTCTTATAAATAAGAAGACACCCTGTATGAGGTTAGAATTTTATTTTTAACTAGGCTATAACTCTGGCTTGATGAATAGTCTTTCTAGCCTAAATTAATTCTTTATAAATTATATACATAGTTAAAGTGGAACTCCGGCCACTATACTATATTTCCAATATACACAAAGGATGTATAGTGTCATGAAAAAGTATTCATACCCCTTGAAATTTTCCACATTTTGTCAAGTTACAACCAAAAATGTAAATGTATTTTATTGGGATTTTTTGGGATAGACCAACACAAAGTGACACATACTGTAATTGTGAAGTGGAAGGAAAATGATAAATGGTTTTCAACATTTTTTACAAATAAATATGTGAAAAGTGTGGTGTGCATTTGTATTCAGCCCTGCTGAGTCAATACTTTGTAGAACCACCTTTCGCTGCAATTACAGCTGCAAGTCTTTTTGGGTATGTCTCTACCAGCTTTGCACATCTAGAGAGGGACATTTTTGCTCATTCTTCTTTGCAAAATAGCTCAAGCTCTGTCAGATTAGATGGAGAGTGTCTGAACAGCAATTTTCAAGTCTTGCCACAGATTCTCAATTGGATTTAGGTCTGGACTTGGACTGGGCCATTCTAACACATGAATATGTTTTGATCTAAACCATTCAATTATAGCTCTGGCTGTATGTTTAGGGTCGTTGTCCAGCTGGAAGGTGAACCTCCGCCCCAGTCTCAAGTCTTTTGCAGATTCTAACAGGTTTTCTTCTAAGATTGCCCTGTATTTGGCTCCATCCATCTTCCCATCATCTCTGACCAGCTTCCCTGTCCCTGCTAAAGAAAAGCATCCCCACAACATGATGCTGCCACCACCATGTTTCACGGTGGGGATGGTGTGTTCAAGGTGATGTGCAGTGTTAGTTTTCTGCCTCATATAGCATTTTGCTTTTAGGCCAAAAAGTTCAATTTTGGTCTCATCTGACCAGAGCACCTTCTTCCACATGTTTGCTGTGTCCCCCACATGACATCTCGCAAACTGCAAACAGGACTTCTTATGGCTTTCTTTCAACAATGGCTTTCTTCTTGACACTCTTCCATAAAGGCCCGATTTGTGATGTGCATGACTAATAGTTGTCCTGTGGACAGATTTTCTCACCTGAGCTGTGGATCTCTGCAGCTCCTCCAGATTTACCATGGGTCTCTTGGCTGCTTCTCTGATTAATGCTCTCCTTGCCCGGTCTGTCAGTTTAGGTGGACAGCCATGTCTTGGTAGGTTTGCAGTTGTGCCATACTCTTTCTATTTTCGGATGACAGATTGAACAGTGCTCCGTGAGATGTTCAAAGCTTGGGATTTTTTTCATAACCTAACCCTGCTTTAAACTTCTCCACAACTTTATCCTTGACCAGTCTGGTGTGTTCCTTGGCCTTCATGATGCTGTTTGTTCACTTATGTTCTCTGACAAACCTCTGAGGGCTTCACAGAATACTGTAGCCGTATTTATAATAAGATGAAATTACACACTGGTGGATTCTATTTACTAATTAGGTGACTTCTGAAGGCAATTGTTTCCACTAGATTTTAGTTAGGGGTATGAGAGTAAAGGGGGCTGAATACAAATGCACGCCACACTTTTTAGATATTTATTTGTAAAAAAGTTTGAAAACCATGTTATCATTTTCCTTCCACTTCACAATTATGTTGCACTTCGTGTTGGTCTGTCACATAAAATCCCAATAAAATACATAAACATTTTTGGTTGTAACATGACAAAATGTGGAAAATTTCAAGGGGTATGAATACTTTTTCAAGGCACTGTGAATTCACTTTGTAGATTGCCTTTGCAAACCCAAATATTACCTTGTATATTTAGCAGTGACATCATCACTGTGCTGTACATATTATGTTCACAGAGCAGAGCTCCACCCACTACAGAAAACTACAGGAGGATGTGGAGCCAAGAATACTCACCCTGCACAAGGAGGTAGCAGCAGTGACCGGTCTTTATTAGGCTATATTTGCACAAGAGATTTGGCCTAGTGGTAGTGGCAGAAATATGCTGATTCTTGCTGTTGATGATTTTGCCACCTGTGAGTGGTAACTGTGGCCGCTGAAACCATACACTTTACTGACAGGTTGGCGACAGTTATCAACAGCTGTTTGCACAGCCAATGGTTGCCTGCGGTGATTGTTGCAAGCATGGGCTTGGTGGGCACGGCTAGATGCTCATGGAGGGTACTGGGCCGAATTGCCCAAGTGAGTGTAGCATTACAAGAAGCTCCTGACAGGGGCAATTTCACACTGCTTGATTGCAGAGATCTGGAAGAATGCACATTAAGATTCAAGGATGAATACACACGACTCTTGTATTTAGACAATTGGCTTATCCAGGAGCTCAACTTTAAATATTCTAGCTGTTTAAACAGTATAACAACTTGATTTTTATATACATAATGCTTTCCTTTCAGAATGCAGATTATGTCCTGCTGGCTGGCACTTATTTCAAGACAACTGCTATTTGATTTATGATTCTCAGCAACGTGAAACATGGAATAATAGTCTCATGATTTGCAATAAAATGAATTCTCATCTTCTGAAGTTCAAGAATGAAGAGCAAGTGGTAAGCATATTTCTAATAAACAACTATCTTCAATCTTTTCGTAGACTAATTTAAAGTGTATGTCCACTTTTGCTGTCAAATTTGAAGAAACGTAACTATATGTTTGTTATACATCTCTATTCACACAACATACCTAAGAAAAAGTAAAAAATAGAGAGTCTCCAGGCTTACTGCAAGCCCGATTGCCCGATTGCCCGATTGCCCAACGCATTAAATTAAAATGACTAACTCTGACATACAAAGCCATTATTAACGCTGCCCCAAACTACCTCACTGACCTGATACCCAAATACCACCCTACCCGTGCCCTTTGCTCCTCACAAGACCTCCTACTCTTTAGCTCCCTGGTCTCCTCCTCCCACGCCCGACTGCAGGACTTCTCCAGGACTTCACCCAACCTCTGGAACTCCCTACCCCAATCCATCAGACTGTCACCTACCCTCCTCACATTCAGGCGCACCCTGTAAACCCATCTCTTCAGGGAAGCTTACCCCACCCTTACCTAACAGCCGTTCTCCTCCACTCCTCCTACCACTCCATCCCCCACAGCCACTTCCTCCTGTACCTCTACCCCCCCCCTCCTAGATTGTAAGCTCGAAAGAGCAGGGCCCTCAAACCCCTCATGTATTGTATTGTTACTGTCTCATGTACTGTCCCCCCACTGTAATGTACAGAGCTGAGCAAACCCTTTGGCGCTATATAAACACTGTATATTAATAATAATAATAATAATTTATTAACAATGTCAGAATAAGTCTGTCCTAAGGACAGGTTAAGTTTCCTTCATTATCAAATAATGCAAGAAGCCCAGCTTCACCAGCCCAGTTAATTATTTCCCTGTGGGATTAATAAAATATTCTAACCTGAATATGAACATCTATAACCTTTGTTAGGATAGACAGTTATCAAGTTTAACATAATATAAAAATGATGAATAGATGACCACACAGGCACAATGCACCACATCCCTAAGAAGACAGAATCTGATAATGTGGAATTTATGGGACTTTAAAGGTGCAGAGAAAACAAACAAATATAGTATTGTTAAAAAAGATTTTTCTCAATTGTATTACAAACCAATATTAAAATTGTAAATAGGTACAATGGTTCTAGACAATCAAGACAGACGTGGCTGTTTACTGAGTCTTTGAAGAATGTAGCTTCCTCAGGGAAAGGGATGACTTATCCGCAGTACAGTCTACAATTATATCAAAAGTATAAACCAAACAAGATTCCAACAAATATCAATCATTATTATACACAATGCATTTTTAACTGTTCAGAACAATGCATGAATCCCCAGCTTACCGTCAAGATCATACTCCCAAATATATTGAGGCACACCAATGTAACTAACTTAGCATCATTCTGGCCCAAGTATCCGTGCAATTGCAGAGGATATAAAAAGGGTCAGATGTCCACCTAAGCATGAACATATGTCCATCAGCAACAATGCAACAGAGGACAAAAAAAAAAGAAGGGAATGACTATAAAGATCTAGCAGCTGTAAAATTACTTACAATAACCAAGATAAATAAGATTTGTTTCTCAATGACATTGAAAAACAAATCTAACAAAAGAGCTTTCTTAGAAGACTCAACCTCCTCTAATACACACATAGAATTTCAAATCTAACAAAAGTCCAGGGGACTAGCTTAAAGCTCACTTCTAGGGCAGCTAAGCTCAAAAGGTGTTTCCTGAACGTAGCAGAAAAAACAAAGTTAGCTGATCTCCAGTTTTGTCACACACAGGCTCACTGATCCAGGTTTTGACCCAAATTTTAGGCCATTCTAGTGACACCCAGTATTATTCAACCCTCTTCCTGTTAGCTCAGGGCATTAAGACCCCACCACCTTCCCTGGACTCACAGGACGTATGCTGCAAAGAGTGGTGATATATTATGACATGGTGCTGCTTTCTGCAGTATTTGGGATTAGATAGACTGATAGAAGAAGAGTGAAGAGGACCTATGACATTATCAAACCCGGGCCAAATACACCTGAAAATGTATATATTTTAATTTGTTTTAGTGACCATGGCGGTGCTTCATAGGGGTGTGGAAGGATTTATAAACAGGGAGGGAGGCACCTGAGCACAGAGCTGGGCTCTAATATTCACTTCAAATAAGTCTCCTACAATGCAACACATCTAACCTTATAAATGGTCTGGTACCTTAGACAATCTCACTGTCAGGAATCTTGCTGCCGTGCAGCCATACGACGGCGATAGATCCCCTCGGACCGCGGCGGTGCGAGTGCGCATGTTCAGGAGCGTGTGGGTGCACATGTTCAGGAGCGTGCGATTGTGCGCATACGCAGTAGCGTACACGTCACCGCAAGGCGGGCTATTTAAACCTGCAATACAGTGTAATCAATGCCTTCTGGTCTATAACATCCTGCACTCCATAACCTGATTCTGTTGCCTGTATCTGATCTGATCCTGACTAAAAGAGAACTCCGCCTGCACTGACCCCGGCTGCCCCTGACTATCCGCTTGCCTGCTCCCTTGTACTTGATTTGCTCGTTTGATCCTGACCCAGCTTGTCTGACTCTGTTGCATCTACTTACCTGTGTCTGCACCTGGCTTGTATCCTGATTGCTGCCATACTTACCTGCTGCTGCACCCACAGTCCTGCACCTGGCCTGCATCCTGGTCACCGCCATACCTGCCTGCTGTCGCATCCACGCTCCTGTGTCCAGTACCAGTCTGCATCCTGATTGCCGCCATACCTGCCTGCTGCTGCACCTACGTTCCTGCATCTGCACCTAGCCTACATCCGGATCGCTTGGGTCTTCACCTGTCTGCTACCAGCTCCAGACCTACCTGGCACTCGCGCCACTCCTGGCTCTGCGCTCTCTGTTCCCACTATCAGGGGCTCCGAGCGGGAGTAGTAAGAGGAAGCCTCCTGTCTACGTCAGGCTCCCCAACCAGGTACGTGGCACTCACACCACAGATATGCAGCTATTAGGCAACAGAGCGGGTGTGCCGAAATGCACTCAAATCTTTGACACAATTAACCTTTTTTATTGGACAGAAATTTATACAACAGCAAAAAGTTGTGAGTCACTGGATTGGCTTTCATTACGATAGAAACACAAAGAAGTGGATTTGGGAAAATTGTGAATCTTGCATGGATATTAGGTGAGTATGTTTTCAGCAATGGTCTACATTTAGCTTAGATCTCTAAAAGATGTTTGTGCTTAAATATCTTCATTCTTGCAATATGTCAGGCTTTTAAAGAAACATTGTAAGTTAACTTTTATTGTGAGTTTTTGTTAATTTTCTACATCTTTAAGGGTCCTCTCACAGCGCAGACCTGTTTAGTGGATCTCTCCACTGATCCCCACTGAGCAAGCAGATGACAGGTCTGTGTCTGCTCCACTGCTGTCCTCAGAGGGCTGTCAGATGGAAAGGGGCCACTTGTTCTTTTCCATTGGATCCCCGTCCATCTCTTTTTTGCAGGTTGGATTGGATGTTGGAAGGTGTAAACGGGCACATGCTCTATAGAGGAGAACGGAGGCTCCAATCGGGCCCGCCTGAAAAACGGGCAGGTGGACCAGATCGGAATGTCCATATGAAAGGGGCCAATCTTATGTATTATGTGTTATTATTAATTTTAATACTTTGCATATTAAAGTATTAATTCAATCTTCTCTGTCCTAAATCACTTTTATTGTTTTGACAAATTAGTGCAAACTGTAAGTAGCAAGATATTTAGGAGAGAAAACAGCATGAGCAGCATGTGGGATATAAGATAGCATTCAACATAAATTATATAATAGCATTCAAGAAATTAGTATTTCACAGTCTGGATTGTTCCCAAAACTTCTTTTCCAAAGAACGCGTTGATCAGTTTGTGCACTTTTCCCTAGTAATCTTTGGCCTTTATTACACTATGCACATCATCTTAATATTTTAGAACTAGCTTGTCACATTCTCTTGTAAAATATCTCTACATGCAAAAGACAATAGGCACATAAGATCATCCTAATGGGCACTGATGTGTGAGTTAATGCAATCCATTTTTTGTTACTTCCACCCCATAAAACTTCCCGATCCCTTCACTAACTTGATGTTATTGCTTCCTGTGAACAGGTATACATTCCTATTTTGCAGATCTTTGTTGTATTGTATTTGTCCAAAGTTAGAGACAAGTCTTCAGTGTGCTTGATTGTAGAAACAATAACATTTGTAGCAGAAAAGAGGCCTGTAGCACCCTTTACAGGTTTTTTAGTTTCTCCTGGTGATCTTTCCAGTAACACACTTCCTGTCTTAGAATACCTCAGTATATTGTATCTTTGGAGGAACAGTATTGTCATCCTAGGACAGGACTACAGCATGACTCCTCCATCTGCATCTCCATAAAAAAGAGGAGAGAGGCTTAGCAGCACTTGTGTGAATGATAAAAGTGCAGCACAGAAAGCAGAGAAAGTTATGCTTTCTAGTGGCATAAAAGGTCTTTTTGCACTTATTGAACAGATATGACAAAATTCTTTCATTGGTATATTTAACAGATCAAAAGAGAAAGAATAACCGCAGTTAACTGTTAGGGTTTACATAAACATGAATTACTAAAGGCAGGAATGCGTTGTGACAGCCAGATACCTAGGAACTGTAGAAAGATACATCAGCATTGCAATGGCAGACTCCATAGAGTTGATTTACTAAAGGCAAATAGGATGTTCACTTTGAGGTTCCACTTTGCAAAGGAATTTTCCCCAGAGCTTAAAAATGCGGTGAAATTTCAATCCGCTAAGAATACCCAAACACGTGCAAGGAAAGTAAAAAGAAAACAGCATTTTTGCTTCCATATGACTGGATAATGGAAGTCAGCATTCATTTACTAAGCTCTGGGTATAACTCCTAGCATTACTGTACAGAAAATTAGGTGCAACTTCCCTTGCAAGATGAAGATTTAATTTGCCTTTAGCAAATCAACTCTGGTGTTTCTTTCAGAAATTTGCTTTTAAAGTGTTACTAAACCCACAACAGTAAAATCAGTCTGTATGTACAGTAAAGCCTGCTTGTTATACTCACTGTGGAACCTAAGGGGTTAATCCTCTGCATTGTGTAAAAGGTTGTTTGATCCTTTCTTCTCTGCCCCTCCTCTTGTTGAAATGACCACCTGATACAGACTGAATCCCTAGTCACATGAACATGCTCAGTTTGGCGTGTATTGCTAGAGAAGTTATTTTTTTCCTTGGGAGAGTGCATGTGATCAGCACAGGGCCAATCAGCACTGTCCAGACAGAGGTCAGGGGTTCTGCATCCTCCTAGAGCAGAAAGAAAACTCCTCCTACAAGTTTTAACCAGTGCTTATCTGAAGTCACAAGACTGCTCTAACTGCTGATGAGAAAAAGTATTTAGCAGTTTATATTTACTAAAATAATTGCATTTCCATGTTGTGTGTACTGTGGGAGACCAAATATAGTGAATGCAGAGTCCTGGATTTAGTATCACTTTAAACAAAACATTATTTGTGCCAGGCAACTGAAAAACCAACTACACTGCACTAATGTGGAACAGAATGGCAGCCTGAACAAAATTTACTGTATACAGTATATACTGGCCAAACTGTTTAATTATTTCTTACAACACATTTGATCAGCAGAGGTGACTGCCAACATCCAAATCAAGAAAAAGAGAAATCACATACTGGGGTTGATTTACTAAAACAGCAGATTGCAAAATCTGGCGCAGCTCTGCATAGAAACCAATCAGCTTCCAGGTTTTATTGCCAAAGCGTAAATGAACAAGCTGAAGTTAGAAGATGATTGGCTACCATACACATCTGCACCAGATTCTGAGTGCACTAGCTTTAGCAAATCAGCCCCACTATGTCCATTTAAAATTCTATTCTTTATTCTAAAAGATCACAGAATACAAGACAAAGCTCTGATGTGTTTCTGCTATACTCAGCAGTTTGTTAAAATGAACAAATAGTAAAGGACACAGTGGGATTGATTTACTAAAACTAGGGAGTGCTAAATCTGGTGCAGCTGTGCATTGTAGCCAATCCGGTTTCTATGCAAAGCTGCACCAGATTTTGCAAGCTCCAGTTTTAGTGTGCAAGTTTCCCTTGTCTTCACTTGGATTTTGTCTAGGCTAAGTAAGAGGATAGATCTGTTAAACTGCATGGAGAAAATGGAAGTTATTAGTATAATGTCTTTCTGAGTGAATATCTGTCTATTTATATGATTTCTGCTGAGTTTATATCAATAAATGTATTTATCGTATTGATAATATATTGTTTTACTTTGATTGATATTAAAGGAACAATTCTAAAGTGGGTTCACCTGGAAACTACTGTATGATAAAAACAGAGAGTACTTATAATCCAGAGAACTGCAATTCCACATACCAATGGATTTGTCAGAAGAAAGCTATACCTATTTGAGTTCTTCTTTCTATGAATTATTATGTTACACAGGACATAATTATGTTCAATATGAGGGTCTGTATGCCAATCATTATACCTAATGTGATTTAATGTAAAACAGTTTCCTTGTTAGTTTAACAAATGTTCCTCTACGATGTTTCATTAAATTCTATTCTTTGCAGTTTACCTAATGACATCATATGTCAGCTATAACAGCTAATAGTACAAGCAAATGCTGAGGGATATCAACAGTAGTTAAACATACAGAAATGTACATCTAGGTTGATTTCCCCCAGAGGTAGACCAACGGTGCTCCAAAGTTCACAGGGGTTTATTTACTAAAGCTGGTTCACTCAGAATCTCATGCACCTGTGCATGGTAGCCAATCAGCTTCTAACATCAGCTTGTTCAGTTAAGCTTTAGCAATAAAACCTGAAAGTTGATTGGTTTCTATGCAGAAGTGCACTCATTCTTCCAATAAATGTACTTTATTAATAAAGGGCGTTTCAGTAAAAAACCTTATTCATAGCCCATAGCTTGGCACCAATGATATTGCAGCACTCTAGGTGAAAAAAATGGTCATTGATGACTCTGTAGATAAAATGGGATATCTGTTAAAATACTTTTCCAACTTATGTCCAAGACATGTGACCAGAACAAATGTTAAAAAGCCATTCCCCCAAAATTTTTATTTTCGTTGCTGGTAGATGCTGGAGATATCTCTAACACTATATCGGAGAATTATCTGATTTTACAATCCTAAATATGCACACCCACTTTAGCCATTTTTTAAATGTATTTATTTTTATGGAGAAAGCAACATGAGGAGCTGGTTTGGTTTGGGTGGGAACACCCAAAAATCCTTAGTGAACAGAAGCCAGTTATGATACGGAGATCTAGTGTTTGAGCATTCAGCATATAATAAGCAATGGGCTGATCCTGCCTTTCATGTGCCACCTTAAAAAAGATAACATTTGAGTGGACTGGTCCTTTAATTTAGTATTCAGAGAAGTTATGGTCTAAACAACATTAAAAACTAACATTAAGTCTGGGTTCACCTATGTGCGGTGCGGTATATATCGCATGTGATTCGCACAGGAACCGCACGCATTCCTTTGCAAGTCACATTAGATTTGTGTGCAGTGCGATTGGAGCCATACGTTATGTATGGTTCTATTTGCATCGCACCTGCACTAAAAAGGTGCAGGACCCTTTTTTTTGGTCCGCACTAGATTTGGATCGCATGGGTATTGACACCTATTCGATCGGATTCTGCAAGCCACACCAAGTTTTGTGGACCAATTTCGGGTTGAGCTACCACTCAACCAACGAATTAAATTCAAAATACTAACAGCAACTTACAAAGCCATCCACAAC